GCCAAACACATTTTTAAGTCCTTAAGCCACACCTGGATTTCATGCAGGATGTGAGACTTATTCATCGAAGAACATTGGGTTTGCGGTGAACATCTGAACACTGCTTACCACCTAGGTAGATAAACTCATCACAGCTCTTCCTGTTACTTGACCCTGTCTTCACTGGGGTTTACTGCTGGCCCAGCTCTGAGATTTTGGACTATGATTTTCAACTTCATATTGTGAGCAGCGCCTTGGAGGATGAGGCTGAAATTCTCTGACTTCTCTACAAGCAAGGCATCATTGGCATAGTCTTGGACGGTGAACACATCTTGACCAACCGTGATTCTGTGGTGTGGCACGCTAAGTCCTAATATCCACTTGATAGCTTAACAGAATAGTGCTGGGGCAAGAATACATGTCTGCCACACACCTGAGGTTGTGTAGAAATGCTCTGAAAGCCATGAATCAATGCACACCCTTGCACCAGGACCAGTGTGAAGATCATGCATCAAGTTTAGCAGAACGTCTGGAACACAATTCCTTTAAGTACTAGCCAAAGAGCTGACCTGTTGACTGAAAACAAAAAGCTGTTTCATGTTGATTATATGCCTTGTGAAGCAGGCGGTTAAATTCTCAGTGCAGCTCTGCTAGAAGCTGGAGGATAAGGACAGCGTTCATTGTCAGCTGCCCAACAGTTAAATATAATTGCTGTGGAGGATGATGTCTGTTAACGAGGGACTGCATCCTACCAAGGAGAATGTGAATGAAGACTTTTCAAGGAACCAATATCAAGGAGATCGGCCTGTAGTTGCCACACTTTGTATGAGATCCCTTGTTCTTTTACAGAGATGCTGTCTTTCCATTCTTCTGCTATTTTGCCTGATGCCCACACTTTTAAGAACAGTTGATGTAGGCTGATGCTCACTGGTTCAGAGGCACCTTTGAGTGGCTCAGGTGGAATGCCAGCATGTCCAGTCTGTAAATTTTGGATGATCTTTTGTACTTCCTCAAGTGTCAGTGAACAGTGGAGCACAAATACCATAATACCATTCAGCAGCACTGTGTCTGGAGTTTTACAAATGTTTATACATTAATTACATTCATCACCCCTAATTTAATTTGCATACATGAGCAAATCTGCAGTTTGCATGTAGTTCCTCAAAACTCCATAAAATTTGGAGGGGACATGTTTTATAAAGAACAAACAAAATATTCAGCTGATATTTGCTACCTTTTTTGTCCGTTTTTTATCTAAAATGTTTTTTAATTAAAAAAAGTCTGACCAGCTGTATTATGTAACCATCTTATAGGGTTCAAGGCTGAAAGACCTATTAGGCATGTGTGACTAGTGGGGCTTGGTCGAATAGAGTTATGGTCATGGAAGAATGAGTCATGTACTTAGATCTATCAACATTTATTTTGGTACAGTAGTTTTAGATGAGAATGATCCTGCTAGGTGTCTAAGACAGATTCCATAATTTAAGCAAATAGAATTGTAGGTCTTATAAAAAGTCTGATCATTCACCATGTTAACAAAATATACTTCAGGTATGATAGTTTGTATGATAGTTTAGACAGGGAAGAAATCGTGCAGACTTACAGCACCTAAGTGAGAAGGAAAATAGATACCTTTTGTGCTAACCTTACCCTGAATTTAAAAATAAATCTATTGGATTTCCTTATGTACAATTTTTAAATTAAATTTATAATATTATATGTAGAACTGACTTGAGTCCTACAGATTGTTTTGAATTCTTGTATTCTCACTGAAACAAAAATTTCTTTGCCTACTCTGTAACATCTACAATCTTAAACAGCACATTGGTTCTGGTTGAATAGACTGACTTATCCAAGTTGTTTCTTTCCATTGTGAGAAGAATTTGTGGTGTTTTGAAGATAAAATTGATCTGATTTGAACCACTTTGTTGTGTTTTCTTTTCTTCCCTGTGCTGGCAGGGCTGCATGTCAAGGAGACACATGCAAAGACTAATTCATTTGAGTTTTGACATGTGTTGCTGAATGAGGTTGTGGAGATGTTGGTAAAATTCTGATGGGCACAGAGCAAATATTAGAAAGTACCGCAAGCATTTGATATATAGCAGCAAAGGAAAAATCACCAGAGCGTACCCACACTCACTTCCATTACCACAGGGCACATTCTGGTGTGTGTGGAATACCCTTTTGAATGTGCTCACCCTCCACTAGCACCCATGCCTCATAGCACAGCATGTCTGAGGGATATGACACCCCTCAGAAGGTGCCCATCAATACATTCTCATCTCTTATAGCAAGACACATTCTAAAGCATATGCTCAGCAGAATGTGCTTGCCCTTCCACTAGCATCCATGGTCCCTTGCAAGGAACATTCTGAGTGGCATGAGGCAATCCTCAGAATATGTCATTCTGTAAACCATGGATGAAGAGTTGAGGATGGGCACACTTTGAGGAATATTACATAATATTGAGAATATGCCCTGCAACCAGGAATGGTAGTGGAAAGGTGCCCTGCTAAGGACCATGATGCTAATGGACGAGTGGACTTGTTCTATGCTGAGTCTACTTAGATGACTAAATTTACTCCTGTATGTGTTTCCATAATTTGGCCTTAATGCCCTGATTTTGCAAGTATTTATACACTTCATTGGAACTACTTATATGGTTAAAGTGGGGTGTGTGTGTGTGTGTGTGTGTATTTCAGCAGGATTGGGGCCTTCCTTTTTTTATTATAAATGATGTCCCTTTCTATTCACTCTTGATTTATAATACAACTAATTTATGTAATAATTAGAAAAGATTTTATAAAATAAAAGTTACAGTATCTGCAAGAGGTGCAAAATTACAATGATCTTTGAAACAGAAATCCTTGCTTTTTTTCAGGGGAATTATACCAGTTTAAATGATATGCTCTGTCATGCTGTCTAATGCCCAAAGCTCCTCCAACAAGAATTTATCATTATAATTTTTATCTGCATTATGGTAGTGTCCCAACTGGAACTGGAACCATCTGTGCTAGGCACTTTACAAACACATAGGAGGATACAGTCTCTGTGATTTGTTCACATAATCTAAAACAAAAAATGACAAAAAGAATGGGCAAACATGCCAGCAGAATGAGCAGGGTGGTGACATATATCTTGTAGTTCAAGATTATTTCTCCTTATTTATTTACTAAAATTGTACTATATTACTGCTCTTGCCTATTTTAATTTTTCTTTTTATCCCTCTCCATGTTTTTCTATTTTTAAACTATATCACTTCCCCCTTTCCCCCTATTTTTAAAATGGTATTTACTGTCCATTCCTATTCCATTTTCTCTACTTTTGTGTAGTTTCTATTTCCAGTGCCTGTTAATTGCCCTTTTCCGTTTACTTTGGAATCCCCTTGGATACTTACTCCCACCCCCATATCCCGAACCAGTGTTTCACCCCACTACCTGACTTCTGCTGGGAATTCTGCTCTCCTGTAGCCCTCATGTCTCACAGTGGGTGTCCACTCTCCTCTATATCTGAGCACTCAGGGATGCCCGCAAGAGCAGGGGATCTGGTTGGGGTGGGGGGAAGAGCGAGCCTCGCGTTTTACCCCCTGATGCCACTGTCCCAGTTTAACTTTTTTCCCCCCTGCCGGAATTCTAGCGGTGATGCTCACAGGAAAGAGCAAATATGCGTCCTTATCCCCTTCCCTCTCCGCTCCTAACTATACCGCTCCCGCCCCGCATTCCCTAGGGGAAACGAGCACTCGGGGAAACTGAGGGCAAAGGGCTCCACTTCTCCAGGGCACATAGGCGCTGTGCACATGCTCACGGGGGTGAAGTGGGGAGGGGGGGTGAGCATTTTGCACATGCTCAGTAGGGGACAGGGCGCATTTAGAGGCAGGGTTCATTTTGCCACGGCTGCTGGAGGAGGTGCTCGGTCCGTCGCGGCTCTGCCATGGCGCGCTGCTGGTTCCCGAGCCCCCTCCGGCTCTAGGAAAGGGGTGGGGGGAATCGGGGGCTGCGGCGTCCTGCGCTCCGGCGGTGGGGGGCGCCCTGTGGTATGTACCGGGTGTTGGCAGGGTGGGCCGTGGGGCTGCGTGCGTGCTACGTTGGCCCGGGCGCGGGGGGCGGTGGAGGAGATGCTCCATCATCCCCGTTGGCCCAGTGAGTCCCTGTCTCTGGGGCCCCTGGGCACTGGGCGCGCTTGTCTCCTCGCGAAGCGCCTTCAGTCCCTCGGCCGGCACTGGGCAGCTGGTGGAGACGCCGCTGCTCGCGGCCGTGGGGAGCAGGGAGACGGGGATGCTGCGCGCGGGAGGCGGAGGACAGGGAGCCCCAGGGCTGGCCTGGCAGAGGCCGGCGGGGCGTCGCTCGCGCTGCTGTTGCAGGTGGGGTGGCTGCTGCTGGAGAATGGAGGGCCCGGGGAGCCCCTGTTGTCGCTGGGTTGGTGATGAGTTTAGTGCAAATAACCTGCCGCTAGCAGTGTACGAGACCAGGGGCGCTGGAACAATTTGTACAGTGAGGGTGCTGAGAGCCAATGAATCAAACTGTAAACCCTGGATATAATGGAAACCACTTCAAGCCAGGGGTACTCCCCCCCCCCATCCCTAGTTCCAGCACCTATGTACAAGACCCACAGCTGAAGGGAGCCCCAGCCCCAGAGAGCTTCCTGTGGTTGGAGAAGGAGGCCATGGGGAACCCCCTGTTGCTCTGCTTGGCTGGGGGAGGAGTAGAGAGTCACTGTTGCTGTGATTGGAGAATGGTGTGGGGTGGGGAGGGAGGTAGTTTACTGGGACTCGATGCCATAGTTAGCATGTAAGGATCCTTTTATGTGCATTTTGTAAAGCTCTTCAGGAGCCTCCAATGAAAGATCCTATATAAATGATTATTATTTATTATTACTATCGTGTTTTAATGCTGCTTTCTTTGAGGGGAGGACAGTTTTTTAACTGGGAGAGAGGACAGGAAGTCCCTGGATGCTGTGTATGAGTGATGGTAGTAAGCTATCCCTCATCCTCCTGCTGCTGCTGGGGCTGAGAGTCAAGAGACTGCTCCTGCAGCTGCAGAGGTATCAGAGCTCTGCAGCTGTTGCTTGGGAAGGAGATGGAGAGTCCCATATCTTGTAATTTGGCAAGGAGCCCCTGCTGCTGTTTGCTTAGGGCATAAGAAGCCCCTTCTGTTGTTGCTTTTGGAGGGTGGACAAGAAGCTCCTTCTGTTGCTGATGTTAAAAGGAATATAAATATCCTGCTGCTTCCAAGGGAGAGAGAGATGCAACTACTGTTTCTAAAAAAGAAAAAAAATCTATAAAGTGCTTCTGTTGCTCTAGGGAGAAAAGGATGGAAAAGCTACTTGTGGTAGTTAGGACACAAAATGCAGAGGAAAGCATAGTATTCTGTAGGTTATTGGTCACCCTTGATAATTACCATGTTCATTATATCTGTAATTTCTGTAATACGTGTGGTATATTCTTTGTTGTCTAATGTATTGTATTTGAAAGCTATTCAAATATACAATCCCATGTAAGAGCCTACACGTGCAATTTTTATTCACGCTTAAAATTTAGATTAATGGGACTACTTGGGTGCATTAAGGTTACAGTATGAGTCCCTAACTTTGTGTCTTGTCTATTAATGGTAAATTTGTTGAACACAGTGGTTTAAAATGAAATATGAAATTCTTATGATCTCAATACTTGGCATACTGTGGAGCATGCTCTGGCATATAAATATCTCTGGGTGAATATGGTGGGTTTTTAGAGGGGGAAGTCTACCCATGTCAGGTGAGAATTCACAGGCCTCTTGAGTTAGGGCTTCCTTTAGAGAGTTTAAATGTATTCCTCCAAAACACAGCAACAAAAATATGTTTATATCAATTTATTGTGTATCTCCTAACTATCATACAGTCTATCCATGTACGTAAATATTGGGAGGATACTTAAAACAAACACTATATCTCATTTGTAGCCTAGGAGCACCTCTCTCTTGAGATAATTTGTTGAGCTGAGTTTTCTGTGATCCTTGTGTGTGAATGAAATATATTTGTTTACTTCCTATATGTAGATAGTCCCATTTTCCATAATTAACCCCACTAATATAGCCCTTTTTTCTTATCTACCATAGATCAGCTGTACTTCTGAGACTTATGCCCTCAAGATGAAGTTCTTACTGGAAATTCTCTTTTTTGTTTTGTTGTCTTTATGGGTTGAAGAAGCCTATTCCAAAGAGAAATCTTCAAAGAAAGGAAAGGGGAAAAAGAAGCAATATCTCTGCCCATCGTATGTTCCTTATCTCTTTTATACTTTTTGTGTGACAAGACTGATGGATATTATCTTCCTTTTATCTGAAGAGATTGCATACAATTATAAAGTGGAGCCTGATTTTTCCTATTGAAAGAATATAGTTGTTTAATAATTTTTTTGTGGGTGGGAAGGAGAGCAAGGGCTTTTGGTCAGTATAATGTCTTAAAGCATTCGTTTTCTGCCGTAGACTCCTTTGGGTTTCATTTCAAGTGTCATGAAAAAAATCTGATGGCAAAATGACTTTGTTTTTAATTGTGATTTAGAAAGTTGTGATTTCAGTCCAATACCCTCAGATTTTTGCAGAAATAATAGAACAGACTTATAATTGTGTGTTGTCTAGCATCAGATCAAAAATATACTATTAATAAAGAGGGTTTCAAATGTGGTATTAAAATCCATTTCCTGGATATGTAGGTTTTGTTCCAGCCAAAAAGTAATGCAGCTGTTCACGTTCGTAATGTATTGGTAATGCAACGAGTGTCTTTAACATCTCTCCATGGATAAGATGTAAATATTTATTTTATATTAAAGTAAATACCATTGATGGTTGCTGTATTAGATGAACTGACACATGCCTTTTTCGAACAGTTCTACTGATGAAATATAGAACTTGAAAGTTATTAATTGCCCAGTTGACTATAAAGAGATCAGTAGCAGAGAGCATATACAGTAAAACCCTTAGTGAAAACCTAAGATGATTTAATTGTGCAAAGACTCCCTATTTTTAATTTCAAAACACTTTAGTTGTATTTCAACCTCTAGAATGGCATAACAGTTTTCTCATGGACAAATTACCCTTTGTCATCTTTTGCATGATGTGATGTGAAGACTCCAGACAGGGACTGACAGGGTAGAATGGGTTACCACTAAATATAGAAAAAACATGCTGTAAATGCAGAGATTGCCAGAGTTAAATGGTGAGGCTAGAGGCCATGCTTGAGCTACCAGAGTCACCAGTTTAAAAATCAGTATTTTACACAGTTACTACACAGGGATATCTGAGATATTGCTGTCACTTTGTGTTCTTCTGTGCTAAATGTAGACTTTTTAACCAGTGTCATTGCTTAATGCACTATAAGAAAGAGGCAGGAATTAGGGGACATATCTTCCTGGGGAAAGAGAAAGGAAATATTAACTGGAAAAGCCATTATTGTTTTTCTTTTAAATGCCAGACACAAACACTGGTTGTATATACCCTTTTTGAACTCTCATTTTGAACAATGGCTATAGTAATTGTTTGTTTATTTGGTATAGGATCAGAAACATCAATCTATGGAAGGATTTATTTATTTATTTTGTTATTTTGATTGGGTTCCAAAGAATTGGGTGCTGGTCAGTTGGATTTGGAACTCCTGAGTTGTTAGTGTCAAATATGACCAGGGATCTCCTGAAATGTTACAGGTAGATTTAACTTTTTGTTCGTCTGCCTTTTTCTTTGAACAATTGTCAGATGAACAGTATGCCTCATTGATTTGATTTAAGAATTTATTACAGTATTTAGAATCCTTTGATAAAATGTTTTTACGTCATTGTAGAGAGGTTGTTTAAGGAAAACCTGAGGCTGATAATAATACCTAACTTTTATATAACGTGTTTCATCAGTAGATCTCAACGAACATTAAAAAGGAAGTCAGTATCATTATTCTTATTTTATAGAGGTGGAAGCTCAGGCTTCAGGTTATTAACATAAAGGTAGGCCCAATCAGATTTTCTAAAAATAAACAAAGTACCCATATTTGGCATATCTTAAATTCAGAGACTCAAAGCCAATGGGATCCTAATGTTATAACAGTGGAGGAGTTCCTGTTGGACTAGTTAGAAGACATCGAGAACACCTCTAATGTCAATGGGTGGTGAAAATAATATTTAGAATTGAGGTAGAATGATATCTTGCTCTGAATCTGTGCAGAAATATTCTCATATTCTATTTGCTCTTGTCCTGATAAGAAAAGATGATGACTCAGCTGTGAACATACCAGTTTCTGCCAGTTGATTCCAAAATCCTAAAAAATACATAGTCTGTGTGAGTTTGCCAAACCTGAGAGAATTTAGATTGTGAGCTCTGCAAAATGTCTGTGCAGGTCTATAGACCCACATAATCCTATAAAAGTTACACACTCCCTGTTTCCCATAATGTCCCTTAAACTGCATGATACAGATTGGATATTTCTTTAGTTGATGACCTTGTATATTGTAGAGTTGTGTTTTGTTTGTTTGGGGTTTTTCTGTTTTGTTGTTTGTTTGCTTTTTGCTGATGACATAGTTAAGTCTTTTTGTTCTTAATACTTTTTACCTGGAAAAATTCAGGGAATATTGCTTCTTCCCGCCAATAAATTTAAATAAGTAACCTCTTAAGGGCTGACTAAAATAATCTCAAAGGAGTGATCTTTTCATAAAGCTGGATGAGAATGTTGCTTGAAAAGCGAAAGGGAATCCCATAAAAGATTAAATTTATTTGATGTGAAATATTATTGCATTCTTTATTAAACTAATATAATTTAATATTTAAAATACAAATTCCTAGTGAAAATATGCTTAAATATATAAAGTCAAAATGTTCATCTGTCTTCCATTAGCCCTAGCCATTAGTGAAGGAAAAAATTATAGCTTATTATAATGATCTACTGCAGGGGTTCTCAAACTCCATTGCACCATGACCCCCTTCTGACAACAAAAATTACTACATGACCTTGGGCGGGAGGGGGCTCGAGCTCCGCTGCCCTGTGCTGAAGCCCTTGGGCTTCGGCCCTGGGGAGTAGGGGTTGGGCTGCAGTCCTGGGCCCCAGCAAATCTAACGCCAGCCCTGGCGACCCCATTAAAATGGGTCACGACCCACTTTGGGGTCCGGACCCACAATTTGGGAACCACTGATCTACTGTGAACTATGAACAATGAACTATGTAAATCACAGTCCTAAGTCATTCAGCTATTCTCCTAGGAAAAATGTATACTACATCTGGGACAAATATTTGGTTACTTTGATTGGAGAGATGGTAATTTAGTACAGGTAATTTAACACTGTAAAATGGACTATTAATGAGGGTCGTCTTTAAACTTTAACACCAGGTTTCTCTGTACTATACAGGCAAATATGTTAGTATTTTCCCCATTTACCTGCACCATTCCCAGTGTAGTAGCTGTCAGCCAAACACTACTGTCCCTTGTGAAATTGACTAGTGTCAGCATGAAACTGCCAGATGGGGGGTGCAGAGGAAAAAGGTTGCATTAAATTCATTTTATTATTTACAAATATTTACTGGAAACTAACTTGTTTTGCAAACAAGAAAATTCTAGTTTCTATCTAAGACAAACTCTTGTCATGATTATTTATGATTCCTTTTTTTCTGTGTGTTTTATTTGATTACACAATTGGTGAGTAGTATGATGTGTTTGGATGTGTATAGTCTGTTTGGATCTGAACCAGTTTACCAGTTGTTTTTTGAAACAGTGCAGTCTCTTGTTTCATTAAATTGACACTTAACAGGTTATCCTTCTTGAGATTTAATGCTTATGTATAAACCTATAATGATTATAGTAGAATAAGGCTGCTGTAGTGTCTGACCCTTGAATATTTTCTGATTTAAAGAACAAATTGATATATTGGAATTAAAAGGCCATAATAGGGAGCTCTGCTGTATAAACCTGCAAAGAATTCCACAGATGGGGAATGTGTTTGTGAAATGATTTGACATAAACTCTTGCTCAAGGAACTACATAAATCCCATTGTCTCCATTGTTCACTAAGTGGAGGTGACTGCATGCTTGTGGTGTGTCTGCTGCAATTAACCAGTAGTTCAGGTATAGAAAACACGATGAATGGATTTGTGAAGTGAATCTGTGATTGCCACTGAAAGCTTTGTAAAGACCTTGGGTGTTGGAAAGATTTCAAAGAGAGGAACACTGAACTGACAATGGTTTCTAAGTAGTAAAAATCGTAAAGGGACACTGTCCTGTTGATTAAGGCACTAATTTGACCTACCGTATATACTCGTTCCTTAGCCCGTTTGTTTATAAGCCGACCCCCCAAGATGGATAGGTAAAAATAGCAAAAACTGTATGACCCTTTCATAAGCCGACCCTTTCATAAGCCAACCCTATATTTCAGGGGTTGGCAAACTTTGGCTTCTGGCCCGTTAGGGTAAGCCGCTAGCGGGCCTGGATGTTTTGTTTACCTGGAGCGTTCACAGGCATGGCGCCCCTCAGCTCCCAGTGGCCATAGTTTGCCGTTCCCAGCCAATGGGAACTGTGGGAAGTGGCGCCACTTTCTGCAGCTCCCATTGGCTGGGAACGGCAAACCGCGGCCACTGGGAGCTGAGGGGCTCTGTGCCTACAGAGGCTCCAAGTAAACAAAACGCCCCCACCCGCCAGTGGCTTACCTTTATGGGCTGGGAGCCAAAGTTTTTCAACCCCTGCTATATTTTAAAAGCTGGCGTCACAAGAAACACTCAAAGTTTTGCTAGAATTATTTTAATGTTATCTAATGAAAAACTTGTTGTTGTTATAATAATAACTAAACAAATATGTATTCACCTTCAAAATTACAGTCAATATTTAAAATCAGTAAATGGATATTTAAAACAAGTAACTTAGAACAATATGAGACTTTAAAAAGTCTTAAAATCCTTCAAAGTCTGAATCAGTCTCTGATTCACCAAACAGTTCATTAAACTCGGCTTCAATCACAGCTGCACCTGCACTGTCATCGTAGATGTCAGCAGTGTCGTCTTCAGACTCAGATTCCTTCTCATCATCAGCCTCTGTTTTGTCATCATCAAATATGGCATCCTCCTCTGACCTGTTGAGTGCATTGCTGATACAGCATTTCCTAAATGATTTTTCTGTCATTTCCGAGGGAATGGACACCCATGCGTCCTTGATCCACTGGGCGACCAGCTTGATTTTAGGGCTTTATAAGATTCCCACCTTTTGTCAACTTCCCCATGCCTGAGCACATCCATTCAGACCACATTTTGTGT